AATGATAGCCCACAACGCCTCAAATGTTATTTTTGGGCGTCTAGAACACAAAAATTTCGCGGACCCCCTAGGAGCTGTCTCTTATACACATCTAGATGTGTATAAGAGACAGTACGTGACGTAATAATAATATGTTGGTGCCTCAGAAATAAGTACATTGTTAAGACTTGCTTTTGAATGACATTGTTGGATCTGGTATACACAAGGATATGGTTAAGTGAATACAGTGAAAGAATGAAAGAATAAAACACCTGATTGGACAATTCATACAGTGTACGGTATCTTAAAGCCACACCAATAATATTACCAACCTATTAGCATCTAGTAAGGAGTCGTCAGCTATGACCATCCCATGACTGACGTAGTATATGTGGTTGTTGAATTTGGGAAATTTAGCGGATGTAATTAACTGTCTATTGTGCACTTACTTCCACCAGAGAACCTATATACGAATATAGGGTCTGCGCTTTCAACAAAAATAGACTTCACTGACACAGTTTTCAGGAGAGTAGGTTAGGTCTGTAAATCCTACTACATCAGTTCGAAACCAGATAGACAATGACGACATTTAGGTACCTGTGGATTACAGGCCTGTTTTTACTTACAAAACGTGAAGTGTATGGCGACGAGGCGGGTAAGCAATACCTTTGTCACTCTCTTTTTACTTTCTTAATTAAACTATTTCCACATATATTACGCTAAAATACATTACAATAATATAGGCCTACTGTTAGTTTAGCTTCAGTAAAATATATCTAAATAAGAAAATAACATAATTTGTTCTATAATGGCATATGCTGCTATCGAAGTCGAGATAGAACGTAGGCTATCCTGGCCTACCTCAGACTCTAGTACGTATACACCTTTGTTGGGTGTTGAGGTGGTATCTGCGGTATGGAACGCCAGGGCGGACATAAACACATCGAGGTCACAAACCTACCCATCGAGGAAAATAAACGTATCAGGGGCGGATTTAGGGGGGGGGGCGGCCCCACCTTTTGGGAGGTAAAAAAAATAAAGAAAAAAGAAAGAAAAAGAAAAAAATGATAGCCCACAACGCCTCAAATGTTATTTTTGGGCGTCTAGAACACAAAAATTTCGCGGACCCCCTAGGAGATTGTCTCGATCGGCCCAAATTTCGGCCCCCCCCCCCTTTCGGACATCTCTGGATCCGCCCCTGCGTATGGCAAACTAATCTTTTCACAGTACTACATTTATTTCATAAATCTTTTATTTAAGCATTAATAAACATGATAAAAATATATATCGATAATAGAAACGTGTCTGAAACCATGCTCAAACGAAGTCGACTTAGTAACCTTCGTTGTTTTTCTGTAAATAAAGAAAACTAAGAAGTGATACTGTAGTGCTGAATAAACTTAATTACCATCCACATAATTATGAATATGAATTTTGAATAAAGATACCGATATATAATATTTATTATATATATATAATATATATATATGTATGTATATATATTTATGTATGTATATATATGTATGTACATATATATATATATTTAATATGTATATATATAATAATTTTCATATTTAAAAACTAGACTCATCATGCAGTGCAGGTGCCCAACAAACGCTCCAAATCTCCAGCTTCTCGATTCATCTTGAACAGTGTGTGTATGGTATTTTGGTAAGAAACTCCTCCTTTTCAGTGTTGCCACTGCAACCTGTGTGTGCGAAGAACTTTTGACCAACATAGGTGGCGCTTTTTAGAACAGTAAAAGTAATGTGAAAATTCCGTACGTCAAAACTCGATGGGTAGTTATGTGTAAACTCGATAGGGAGTAATGTATAAACTCGATGGGTAGTTATGTAAACTCGATGGGTAGTTATGTGTAAACTCGATAGGGAGTTATGTATGAACTCGATGGGTAGTTATGTAAACCATGGGTAGTTATGTATATTGGATGGGTAGTTATGTCACCTCAATGGTGGTAGTTATGTCAACTCGATTGGTAGTTATACATCATGTCGATGGATAGTTATGTAAACTCGGTGAGTAGGTATGTGACCTGGATGGGTAGGTTGGTGACCTCGATGTTTTTATGTCCACCCTGGCGTTCCATACTGCGGTTGACCTGTAAAACCCCCTTCCTGGGCCCCTTTTATGATGCATTCCTGGACCGCCACTGGCCAAGGCCTACGCATTACTATTTTTTGTGTGGCGAATAATAAATGTAGCTCTTGACGGCCGGTGAAGCAATAAAATAAATAACTAAATAGATTTGGAACATTCGTACTGGTATCTACTTTCTGTTTTAATCTTCTTCATCACTACTCAAATTTGACTATTCTGTTGATAAGTTCTTCTTTGAGCAATAAAACTTATATCTGCAGTATTTCTGCAGTAAAGGGGGCGTGCTTTCTCAAAAGTTAATGTGTAGTAGCATATTATTATTTGTTATAACGCCGTATAAGCTTCGTCAACATTATCACATTTTCGTAGACAAAAAAACTGTTGTATGCCCATATATAGTCATGATGTGCCTGTATATGTTCATGGCTATATATGGTGATGTCATCATGACCAATCATGTGTTTGCCAAATAAAATTTGATAATCTGGACAGGGCTTTATGTTCTATGGATCATAAATCTCCACTTCTTGTTTCAAGCAAAGGATATAAAATAATATTACAATCTAACTTCCGTCTTTACATACTTTACTACATGAGGTATTCAGCCGATCTGATTGATATAGGCCTACAAACAATCGCTCATCTATGTTGAGGTCGCGGATTGATAACAATAGAAACCCGAAGTCGCATTTCTAAAGATATATCGCATTGTGTTAGGGAAAATAAATTTTAAATTGACGCTAGAAAACTGGTTGAACCTAAATAATGACTTCCACCATTAATTTGTTTCGGCTTTGATAGTTAACCTGTTGAATTTTATTTAAAAATCTACTGTGTGATTGCTCTGCACTGTAATTTGAGGTTACATTCTTTTGTGCAACATAATTGCACTTTATAAAATGACCAAAAAGTTAGACAGGAGTTTAGACAACAGGGTAAAGACGATTTGTCGGCTAGAATGGACAGAGGGGTCAGAACAGTCAGAAATGAATTATTTATAAGCCTAACATTCGACCAATCAAAACAATCTCATTGTTCAGATGTCTATGTATATAAATGTATATAAAATACACAGCATTAAATCTATAATTCAAGAATCTAGCATATTGACGGTAGGTCTATATGCCATGAATTATCATGACTAGTTTCTTTTTCAACATTCTTCGTCAGTTCACTTAAAAAGTCTACTGCCGCCATAGCACTGAAATACCACACTCGTATTTCAGTACTCATTTTACAATTTAACAACCAACATCAGGATATTCTTTTAACTATTACGACTAGACTACTCTTAATTTGGCTATAGTCATAGCTGAAGTACTCAGCATGGATGACGAAACGGTACAACACCAATGAATTAGTGATTATTATAAACGCTGTTATTATTTTTAGGTCTATTATGATTAGTATTATAATGATTATTATTAATATTTTTTATTATCACTTTTTGTCAACTGAACCAATCAAAAGAGCTTAAGAAAACTGCATGCGAACATAAGACATTGAGCCTCACATGTGATGGAGAAAGTACCCTCGACATCCATAGTGCGTTGTATGGCCGTCTTAACACAGAAACATGCCCACATAATCTGGATCATTCAACATCATGTAGAGCTGAAGGTGCGCTCCAAAAAGTACGCGATGCTTGCCAACACCAAAGTTCATGCGGTGTAAAAGCAGTAAATGGTGTATTCGGAGATCCGTGTGTTGGAGTGTTCAAATATCTCGAAGTTTCGTATACGTGTGAAAATAAAGGTGAGACTACCATCATAGCAAATGTACTTATATGTACAGTATATAGTTTTGTTAAATGATAAAAGTATTTTCTTTATTTTATAAATAATACGATGTTAAATTAATTATTTATATATAGTAACTTGGCACTTCAATTATTTATAAATAATGGTTTTGCTACTTTATATAATTTTGTTAAATAATGAAAGTACATTTGGCGCCTCATAAATCTCTTATTTTAAAATCAACAATGGTTCTATCACTATAGGATGGCATCTGGTTTTTAAAGGCGTATCTGAAGCTGGCGATCCAGATCTGTATCATTTGTGGCGAGATGATGGCTCGTTAAACGCCTTGAACCACTCAGCACGCGCCCTAAATGACAGCCTTAAAGCAAATTTCAAAAGTCCGATGGTTGATAGATGGACAGAGTTGGAAATACAACGAGTAAGTTTAAATTAAATTATGTTAAATTACAAATTTCAGAATAATAGCGTTATTGCTGCAGATACACGTATATTTTGCTGAAAATATCATTTGCAATTCATTAGAATGTGATATAATTCTATCACTGTGTAATTTTATGCAATATACGGTAGGGACATTACTAAGGTCGTGACTAGCATATCCCGATCTATACAGGAGCGTTGGCCTAAGTTACGATTCTCCGGAGCTCTATAATGGCAACATAAATTCATATAAACAGTCTACAGATATTACCAATCTTAATGGTATTTATATGTAGGCCTATGCATTATTTTATAAATTTTAATTATTGTAATGATCATAGGCCTACCACGTGTAAATAAATAATATAATTTCTTTTACAAAAAATAATTTTCTACTTTTAATGTTAGTAGTGTTGAATACACATTCTACCGAGAGTTGACTTCTAACGGGAGTTGACCTCTCGCTAGGTTTCACCTCTTGCAAGAGTTGACCTCTTACTCTTTCTTTTTAAACCTTGTCCACACTTTACAATTTTATGTGACAAATAAATATGATATGCCCATATTTAGATGTAGTATGACATATGGCCACATTATACAAAATTGTCACAAAGTTTTATTGTGTGGACAGAGTTTAATTCGATTTTTTAAAACAGACAAATGACTCTTATTCTGTGCATCTAATTTCAGGTTAAAATTGCCTTTTACAAAGATGGCGTTCAAGCAGCATACATGATATTTAATGGTAGAGATACAGGAAAAATGGATTGGTTTGCTTTAGATAAAGTAACAAGCAGCTCATACGAGGACTTAAACGATCGAGAACCAAATTTTTTCTCAATTAAAGGGTAAACAAATACTACGAATACTGTACTTTGCCTCCCACACACAGGCCCGTAGCCAGGGGGGTTTATGGTTCGGGCAAACCGTCCTTTTCTAGCAAACATCCTCTTTTCTGGCAACCCCCTCACTCGAATTCCCTGAACGATTCCTAAACCCAACTAATGCACTGCAGACCAACCCAGACTGAGATGAAATGCTGCAGACCTTTCTCGAACATGCTTTTAGACCCTAAAAAAAAACCCACAAAAATCCTCTTTCTTTGGGGGTATCGTTGACTTCGCCCATCGCTCCTGGGCCATAGGTCCAGAGACCCCCCCCCCCCGAAGAACCTAGCTACGGGCCTGCACCACCCCCACTACCAACCGCCGCTATTACCAACACCATTAATACCTAATACCTCCATACTATCACCATAAAATGATAGCGCATGCACCCATTGCTTCGTACTCGCACTAATACTAGGCCTATTATTTTACTACTGCCACCACTACCATTTCCACTATGACTGCTGCTGCTGCTAGTGTCGTATTATTGATTGGATTACTATTATTAATTTTTCTTCCTCTTCCTCTCAGCCATTCTAGCGATAAGCACAATCGACATTGGTTTTCGAATAGAAATTATGGTGGATGTCAAGTCGATTATGGTTGGACTGTGGTGCTAACTGGTAAAGGCCCGTGTGGGTGGGACAATAGAAATACCGATTATCCTCAAATTATGTTCTCTCCAACAACAACTGGTGTACTGTGGGAATCAGGTAAGCATTGTTCAACCATCATTATTATTATGTAACATATAAAAATACATTACGAAAGGTTAGTCGCGCGTTGTCTAAATCAATTGTTCTGTGCGACAGAAATTCCGGTCCCTGGCGCTTTCGTGCTCTGTGTAAATACGCCTATAAGATTTTATTCACACTTTGCCCACTTGTTCTCTTTTTGCGCACGAAAAGTTTCGATGTGAACGTACGATAACAGATCTTTCCGGGGTGTCAATCGAACTTAACAACTTAACAATCTAAACAAGGTCAGAAAAACGCGCGTGTTCTATAAACACACGTATTGTCCAAGGGGCGGGACTTAGCCGAGGTCCATTGTTTACTCACAAATGTCTCATTTAAATTCTAATCTAATTAAAATCTAATTTAAATTTATGGTCATTTTACAAACATACCGTAAATAATATAATAATATCATGTGTTTTTTGTTTCAGATCAGCCAGCTTGGGCCGATTTCTTTGCTGTTTTTCTTGAATACACTGGTTAGTAAATTCGTGCTGAATTGGCATAAATAAAAGGGCGTTATATTTTCAGCAACTACCGTAAAACCTCAAATTGAAGCCCAATGGGGTTAATCTCGAGAAGAAGCCCATCTCAAATTGAAGCAAACCTCTTCAGTTTGCAAAATTAGCCTCGAAAAGAAGCCCAAGATAGCATAGGCTTCTTTTCGAGATAGTACATCCACTGTACATGAATTTCAAAGGAACAAAATAATTTAAACGCTTTCTTTATACAGTAGTTTAGGTTATTTAATGCCTGTAAATACACTCCATGATACAGATTGATGCTACAGTGTCCCTATTTATTGTTTTGTAGTACTAATTTTCAAAATTTACAGCATTCATTTTGAAAAGAAGCCCTACTTTTTCATTTGCAAAAGTGCCCTCGAAAAGAATCACATCTCGAAAAGAGGCACATCGCGAAAAGAAGACCATCCAAAGTTTGTAACACACACAAAAAAAAAACACCCAGGGCTGCAATTCGAGGTTTACTGTAGTGTACGGCTATTCATTTTCATTTAATTTTTCCGTGATAACTGGTGAGGGCGCATGCCAAAGATATACATAATTATATGCACTTTCGAGGTATTGCCTCCATTCTTTCTTTTTCACTTTCATGAGCAATAAAAAATCATGCAGAAATTATGATATTGATGATTACGACAATCATAAATGTTTAACGTATTTATTCTATAGGGCTAGGCCTATAAACATTTTACAGACGTTAATTAGTTTTTGCTTTCATACCGTATTCATCATCAGAATGTTATACACATTTGCATTTACATTTGTACTTATATTTCTCTCGTAATTTTGTTGTCCAGATCACTGTCCGTATGAAGTTGTAGTGATAGCTGATGTGACGTACACGTTCGAAGCTTCACCGGCTAATTTTTTGGCTAACTCACTTGAAATGTGCAGTTCGAGAGAAAACAGTGAGTATAGAGTAGGCCTATAAATAGGCTACATACGCCGGGACATACGCACATTATGGATTCTTTAACATACATTGAAAGCAAATTCATCATTATTATTATTTATTTAGAAAAATTTAAAGCCCTAATATCCTGTATTTAATTCAAAATAAGACGATAGTTTAATTTTGACTCGCCAAAAGAAAAAGTAGAAAGGGACATGTTCCTCAACATCATGTTTACATAAACATAATTTAATTTTCGGTTGTAAATCACTGAAGAAATTTATTGAGTGAAATATAGCGGTTCAATGAACCTTACCGTTAAGCCCTGCTTGTTGCTAAGATCCAACAAAATAGCAACACAAACTTACGCAAACATTGTGTATTTGTGGAACAACACACGTGCGATTGTAGAACTAGTCCTTTCTCCGAAGTTTGACATTTCGGAACGGCCCAATAAATGCTCAAAAAAGCACCGTAAATGCTCAAAAAAGCGCCGCGGCGCTTTACAACATTTTTGGAGGCTTCAGTGCGGCGCTTATTCGATAGCGGCGTTTATTCGAGAGCAGGCGCTTACAAAAACATGCCCGTTCCCATAATCATTGCTCACGCATTCCCGTATAGGCCTTATAGGCCTACGTCATTGTAAATAAATGTTTATAGAGAAATGCTTGTGTCTTCATTGTGTCAAAGAAACTAGAAATACAAGATAGAGTTCTCCACACAAAAAAAGTGTTCCACCGAAATTCATGGTAGGAATACGAAAAATGGGACGCCCCCTACAGCCGGATCTAAAAAAACTTGTGCCAAACTTTCGTTACCAATTCGTCGCGTATTTTATTATCAATTCTCAACAAAGATACTAGATATAAAAACAAACTGGAATAGACACCCAGACAGTGACATCGGTGAATACATAACCTCCTTGGTGGCGGTAGAAATCGTTGCTATTATCCAAATAATACACAAAACAATTAAAGCATAATCATGAATCAGTAAAGAATAAAACAACAATACAGCGCAGAATCGCATGGCCGGACGCACTCTTAGTGAAAAAGTTTTCCTCCATTTAGTGGAAAAGGAAGGGCGCCTTTTGCGTCTGGATATACTGAGCAACAGAAGGGCGCCCTGTACGTTGGGCACGAAGTATAGGAAACTTGCATGGTTAAAAAGAAGGGCGCCGCCTACGTTGGGCACGACTTCCGCCTCATTTTTACAATGCGAGAACTCTATCTTGTGTTTCTAGTATCTTTGATTGTGTTATTTTAATAATTTTAACACTGTATACATTGTATTAAAACCCTGTTTCTCAAAATGTTTCATTACACACAGGGTAATAAACTCTCGATTTAGCGCCGCTGCGCTTATTCGAGAGCGGCGTTAGCTAAAAAAAAATTAGGCTTGGTGCGGCGGTTATTTGAGGGCGGCGGTTATTCGAGCATTTACGGTAATATGTTATCCACATAATATATTAAAGCTTATCGCTTTAATTACTATATATTAAATCTCTGTCCACCCTATAAAATTGTATGTGACAAATGTGTGTGATGTGCCCATATATGGGCATGATAATATCACATTACACCCAAATAATTATAGGCACGTCACATTTATTTATCGCATGAAGTGTGACAGATACGGACAGAGCCTATCGTAAGATTAGAGTACTTACATTAATAGTGTGTTTTATAATGAAAAACAGATCCTCGAGCAGTACGCATGTGTAATTCTGAACCACAAGGAGGCTCAGTCTGGGGAGAAGTTTCAATTACATTATGTGACATTGATGATATCAACGGGTTGACGCAGGTAAAGAAAGTGCTGTAGAGGGCGTGTTAACTAAATTAGCTTCTCCTATTACACTACTACGTTAGTAGTCAAAATAACTTGTAGTTAAACCTTGTTAAAATTATAAGCATGATATATAGAGGTATTGGCAGATATAAATCCATTGTGTTGAATAATGCAAGACAAAAAATGCAATTACTAAGCATAAATGATCTTTTAGTATCTACATACACTACTAGTATTTGTATTATTCATTTACATGTATCTATACTGGATACACAACTATTAGAAATTGAATATCGATCAGTTCTATCACTGTTTTATAAATTTATATAACTTCATTTTAATCGTGACTACTGTATTATTTTAAAGGTGACAGTGACGGAAGATAATGTTGATGACGTTGCTAGTCAACTTTCCACTTTAACCGGCGACGAGAATGTTGAAGAGGAACTTAACATTAATGATGTTGCCTCAATTTTAGAAAGCATAACTGAAGTAGGCGTAGGCAATCAGAATGTAAGTCAGGTCTTCTTTGTAAACCTAGGGCTTACTAGCTATTATAATACATACTCTATATGGGAGTTATACTGGGTTAGGCCTACAATATTACAGGGTAAATCCCTTCCACTAGGAATAAATTGCGAGACAGAACCTATAATAATAAAGGCCACAATCGCATAAATGTTTCTTATCTTTCGTGAAATTTCAAACTATTACATTATTGGATTTATATTCACTCGCAGGTAACAATGTTCACAGTAGAGATTGTGAGTAATGTACAAAATGCAGACTATGAACTCTTCATGGCAAACAACCAGAGTATGGCTGCTTCTTCAAGAATAGTTCAGTCTCTAGAGACTCAACTAGAATCGCTTACGAACTTCACACACGTCCAGGACAATGTTGCTGTTCATACGATGATGTTTAATCCAACAACTTTGGAGAATGGAATCGGATTTGCTTCAATCCAACCCTCGATTAATGGTGCTGTTGAAAAGGGACTTCAGAAAGAAAACATCAAACAATTTGAAGATGTACAAGATTATCTAAACCAGATGATTGAAACATCAATTGCTTTACCACCTGAAATTGTTAATAAGAGTCAGGAACAAGCGGGCTCAAATGACTTGCAAGTGAGCTTCACCATCTATCAAACTTCTAAGCTATTTACTTCTTATCGTCTGATGACTAAAGAAAATAGAACAATCGGGACTCGCGTCATATCGGCTGCTGTAGAGCGAGTGACTGTGGCAGGGTTGAAGGAACCGGTCAGAGCTGCCTACTTACCAATTGTGGTGAGTTGTATTATTATTTTATCTATCTATATTATTCTTCTTTATTACTTCTCAGCAGTCAATTTAAAAGAGCGGCATATTTGAGTCGGCTAAAGTGGTGATAGGCACCGTATGAGCTGAAACCATGGAGATCCATTGTTTAGCTTTGGTACCACATTCCTTTGGTGTTCACACTGAATAAATTCAATAAAATCCAATTAAATTTCATCAATTGAAAGAAGCACTAAAAATGGAAATATTTTATGAACTTTCAATAAACATACTTATATAAAGGTGATATGTCCAGTTATCTATGTCAGTAATGGCTGTTTATCCACAGCTCCATTTTATGTATTATAAATATAAAAAAAAAAAACACTAGTAGAACAACATTTTTCACTTCTCAGAAAGGTGCGGGAGGGAACCCTGAATGCGTTTTTTGGGACTTTGATTTGGAAAACGGCCAAGGCGACTGGTCCAACGAAGGCTGTGTTTACAACGAAACATCCGATGATCGAATCGTGTGCTTCTGTGACCATTTAACCAACTTTGCTGTTATCATGGTTAGTTTATGTTATTGTCTACTGTCATATTAAAGGGCTACAAATCATGTATCTAACACATGCCCTAGGACCAAAATTAAAAAAAAAATCTTGTTGATTTTTGAAAGGATTATTCTGGTCAGGCCGGTCCAACTACGGGGTTTCAAGATGCATTGACATACATCAGTGTCATAGGATGTGTAATATCTATCGTCTGCTTGGTTATCACTATCTTTACATTTATGTATTTCAAGTAAGTTAATTGTGTTTTTTTTTATCACTGCCTGTACGATATACTCATTTAGTATTTCATTTTATATACTTGTTTACTTTTATTTCATCTCAAAAGAAAAGAAAAGAAAAAAAAAAAAAAACAATGAATAAACAAACATAAACAAAATATAACACGATGAATAGACAAACATAACCAAACTATGTTTCTCTTAAACTAAGTGTCATTACGTTAGCTAGGGAGTATTCACATTTATTGAACTGTTAATCTTACTAATCATTTATATATTTTTACAGACACTTACGTGGAAAACGCCCCCAGCGTATTCTTCTTAATTTGTGTTTTTCTCTGCTGTTTCTATATTTAACTTTTGTCATCGGGATTGAGTTGACGAAATGTTATAGTTGCTGTATTATTGTGGCGATCATGCTGCATTACTTCGTTTTAACGTCGCTATTTTGGATGCTAGTTGAGGCAATAAACATGTACCTTAAATTTGTATTGGTATTTTACGAAGAAATACGCTGTTTCATGTTAAAGTCCGTAATTCTTGGTTGGGGTAAGTGTACCTAGCTCATTTCTCCCAAACGTGTGTATACATATCATCCTGTCATAGTATTACCAACATACATACCGGTTAATGAACTATACAAAGTAAAATGGGTCATACATTTCTCTAAAATATTATAAATGTCATTCTCAATTTCTCTCTTTTACCGACCAGGTAAAAATGACACACAATTTCATCTCACCCCATCCTACTACTATATTTAATATTCATAATTCGGAACTTTTGACTGTCACGATACACGAACCTAAGCGTATTACATAATTCTAAGATTGTGTAACACACTTCTGATCGTTGACAATCAAACCTTTCAAAAGAGGAATATTGACTACTGTAGCAGAATGGAGTGTCTGGGGTGGTAGGTCAATATTAATTTTTCTTACTAAGGTATACCTCAATAATTTTGTGTCTAATCTCTCACTTTCAAAATACACCATTGCTCATTCACACTCTCATCATTCCAAGTGAGATTTCCACCCACCCCGATACTATAATTGCTTCTCTATTATATATTTTTTTGCAAATATTGATTTCTCAGGACTATGGTTCTTTTTAAAAACTAAGCTTTACATTTTTTTATTCAACAGGTGTGCCTATTATACCAGTTGCAATAATTGCGTCTATAAACTACGAAGAGATATATTCCAACGACGAATAGTAAGTGTTATGTTTTGTATTATTTATTAAAGTACCGTTTCTGATGGCATGCTCTCTATAGTGTAGCTGCGGTCTGTGGTCCTACTATTCTCACTTGTACAACTACGTACATATTAACAACAAAAATGATAATAATAGCATGAAATGATAATGATTATGAAAATGATAATCCGTTAATTACAAAAATATTCTCAAAATTATGTGATTTTTTTGTTAGCCGACTAGTGTTCACCAATGATGCTTTTCAATTATTGTTTATTTTTCTAAATTTAGCTGTTTTATGAAACCCGGCTTAGAATTTTACCTTGGATTACTGGCCATTGCAGCAGTTATTCTCATCATAAACTCTGTCATCTATATCCAAGTAATTCGGCAACTGACATGTCGACGAAAGCTTACGAAAGTCAAAACTGACAAAAATAAAATGAGTGAAGTGTCTGTCCGTGTGCAAAACGCAATTACTATCATGATGCTTCTGGGCCTAACATGGATTTTTGGCTTCTTGTCCATCGACTCATCGGACGCTGTTCGCGATCTTTTCCAGTTGATATTCTGCGTTTGTAACTCGTTGCAGGGGTTTTTTGTGTTCCTGTTCTTCTGTGTTCGTCGACGAGATGTAAGGAATTCATGGGCATATTTCTGTTGTAAGGTTGGTCAGAAACCAGGACAGTTTATAACAATGACTTCAAAGCAACGCTACGCAACCGAGAAGACTCTGGTCTCGGCTAATTCTACCTGTTAGAATGTACTGTTGTTACCATTGAAAGTGGTTATAGGTTTGAAAGTCACGAATAACATGTTATTTGCTTATAATTATGGAGTTTTATAAATTATATATATATATATGTATATATACACAGTATTATGTGTATATATATGTATTATATATATATGTGTGTGTATATATAAGTGTATATTATGTATATATATGCATGTATATGCGTATGCACGCATGTTTGTGTATGATATATAATAATAATAATTATATATGTATATATATATATATAAAACAATACGAAGTTAATCAAAATAAAGATGAACACGGTTGACATGTCAACCGTGTTTATCCTGTCTCTTATACACATCTAGATGTGTATAAGAGACAGGTGTACTCTCATATCCCATCAAGTAGTAAGGCAAGAGAAAAATTAGTTGTCTTAGACCCGAAATTATATCGTACTGGCCTATGTGGGTTAAACGGTATGACACTCGCCGAGATAGCACGAGATTTTAAGTTTACATATCATATATCATCGTTATTATGCGGACTGTCAGGAAGTCTGTAAAGAAAAAGTAGTTGAGACAATGACTTTGGTCTCCGGTATCTTCATTTTTTTGTCATTGAGGTTAACAAAATTCTCAAAATGATCAAGGATCAAAGAGTAAATTACAGGCCGCGTCTACAGCCAAGACTACAATAACCACAACATGAATTTATTAAATATTGTGGTGTGCCTATAAGGAAATAAAATAAGGAAAACACAAGAAGAAACAAAAAGATGTCTTTTCGACATAGATGTTAGTACGTACAGGATGGGAAATAACAACAGTTTCCCCGCGATATGCTTTAATCTATATATAACTTTACTTCATAACTTATACCAAAAATGATACTCAAGCAGCTAAAAATCACCTCATAACATTACTAGTCATCAAAAATACTGTGTGAACCATATACTGTGTCAATACTGTGTAAACCATATACTGTGTAAATACTGTGTAAACCAATAGACATTGCACCGTCCAAATACCCAGAGCCTTAAATTAGATGAACAAAATATTTTAGCAAATATCATACCATATATTGCAAAATTAAAAACGTCTTTTTTCATGCCAATCGAAGAATCAACATCAATGGGGCTCAAGTAAAAATAAATCAAAATAAATAATTATTTGTAAAATGTTTATTGTTATGTGAAACCTAGGTCTACTATTTGATTTGCTCGCCCGAAGTCCCAATAAGCAACGGTACGGACCGAGAAGACATCAGTCTCGGTCAATTCCACAACATTTTAGAATGGCTCTAAGGTGTTCAACATACATCTCATCACGTTTAGGCCTAATTCCAAATAATATGAAACTAACGACCAGCCTACGTTTATAGCATAAAGTGTATGTAATTATATTCAATGTCGGGTTCAATGTACTTTATTCTGGATCAGCCCCTGGTATTGACAGTTCGTTTTTTTTTTTTACTACGTTGATATATTTCTGTTCTTTAACGCGTCATAGCTAGATGACAGGCAATTTGATAGAAGCCAATGTATCAAAGACAGTACAAGGTGTCATAATATTAAATTGAACAATTTTGTAAACAGCATTCAGTTTCTGTATTTGTATGTTTGGTCAATTGTGTGTGCACATGCCTCTCTTCATGTTCATGGTATGCAGTCTACTAACGCCAATGTCAATGCCTGCTGAATGTCTTTAATTACATTCCACATACATTTGTATTTTATTATGGACATGCCAATAAATGAATCTTTAAAATAAACTACACAACGACATCAATGCCTCAGCACACATTAATTTTATTATAATACTTAAATACGCCAGCAATATGTTATTTATCCTTTACATCTAAAGCCGATGGTTGAATGTTCAAAATTCAAGAACCAAGATTGAATCAATGTTATTCTTTTCAACGTGTCTGACGTCGTAATATTGACAAAGTACGGTAACAATATCGCATGGACGAGACGGTCAGTGACTAAGCGTAGTGGAGAAGAAATTAAAAGGTACAACCAACCCGTTGAACATTGTGAAGATTGCTGTTTAAGTGTTAGATACGTCATACTTAATACTTCTTCTATGGAAGGCCAATTGTGTCACTTATAATGTAAAATCTTCGTAACAATGCTACATGTCGCTGTTTTCGTTATTTTGTCGAAATAGGAAGAGCATAAAAACTTACTTTTGAATTTCTTAAGGTGTTAGTTAGGTGACCTAGTGACTATATGCAAATAGTGACTTAGTCAGTGACTATATTTTTAGCACTAGTATTTTATATTTTTTTATATTATTTTTTAATTATTATTGTTATTTAAATTAAAATACAGAACACTAATGATGATAGCATTTAATCATGTTCTGAATATTATGTGAACATAATATGAATATCGTATAACCACTTAATTTTATGGAGCAAAAATGATTAAAAAAATTAATTACATTACAATATACCATGACATGGGGTGCATTGAAACACGGTGTTCAAACGTGCCTCGTAGGCGCTATCGGCCTTTATTTTGTGACTCACAAAATAATTGCGACTTACATACACGATGGCTAAAACAATACCGTGAATAAACAAGTAATAACAAGAGTAAACTATATATTCTAGGAGTTATTTATAATAAAGCTATATCGATAATAATTACTTACCTACTACTTACCTGGTGTTAAAATCGATAAATAACGATATTTCTAGACTTCGTAGGTTGCCAGAGAATTTAAATGTTTTACTCAATTTGTACTTATCTGAGAGTTATTAAGACTGTTTCAACGTGCCCCTGTTTTAAAGAAATTCAAATATAGCAGCCCGTAGTAAACACGCTCACTCACACTAACCCCACTCACATAGGCCTATACGGAAAATTCAGTACCAGTTTTATTCAAATCTTATTATTAATAAATTTATTTATCTTATTGTTAATAGAAGTATTTTAAAGTGTTAAGTAAAGTTTATAACTAATTTTACATATTAACAAAATTAATCACAATTTTAAACCGCTATACTAATAAAAACAATATTCATAGTTAACCAAACAAATAAAATTAAATTACGTTACAATGTATAAATTACATAGATAGACAATTATTGAACCAAACAAATAAAGTATAGAAAAGCAAATTACTTTACAATGTATTAAATACAATATTTATTATTATAATAAAAAAAGCAGTAAACCTATCCAATTACAAAATAAATACAGAAGTAATATTAAAACGTTTTGCAAGAGTTAGAGTGGAGAAGAAGAACACAATAAAAAACTAAACTGCGTCATTAAATGATAAATGGGGGTGGAAAAAAACGTAGGGAGCTCCGCCCCCTAGAGCGCTTTCAAAACATTTTAATTGACACATGACCACGCCCACTCGTCGCCTTGCCTCCATAATTGTACCTTGCCCCTCACTTGCTCCCCTACGTTTCAGACACTGGCGCCGCCATTGGATAAAAATTTAACACCCTTGCATTTGACGCGCAATCAGTCAATATCCTAAGAAAACTGTGGAAGAGGGCAGAAAACTGCGACATCATCACCAACATAGTCGTCATCTCTGCTATCCTCATCAACGCAATCATCATCACCATCATTGCATACCGTCATCTTCGCCATCATCATCATCATCACTATGGTTGGCAATATGACCATAATCACTATCATCGTCATCACTACCATCACTATCGACACCATCTGTAACACCCTCATCGCAACTACCATCATAATCATTAAGATCACCATCATTTTCATCATCACTATCATCACCATCCATCATAGTCGTCATCTTCATCATCACTCATCATATAATTTCTTTATTGTCTGTTTGAACATCACCATCATCAGTAGCATCATCATCACTGTCATTATCTTCGTCATCGTCATTGTTACCATTTTATATTCTGATTCTACCCCTTTGAAACTACAGGGATTTTAGAGTCGTAGTATATTATAATGTAATGCTCCACTATTGGTGTACAATGTAATTTAAAAAAAAGAAAGAGTCATATTCGTTTCATTTCATTTCATGTTTCAGCAATAAGCAAGAATAGCTTTTTACTTATTTTGTTTCTAGCAAACTAATAATAGATAACAGATGACCATAACATTTACATTACTTTACAAATTCATGCAGTGTTCGTATCTCTCAGGCCTTTTTAAATTAGTGAATGTTAATATAGAAACAAATTGATTTTTTTAATTAGTGATTGTTAATACGAAAAGGTGACTTACCGAACCCCTTTTGATATTAATCCATTCCAAAAATTCCGTCTTCACGTATTTGTCTACATTCTTTATAACTTGATCAATCAAATCAGTTCTATTTCCATCTTTACGTAAAACAGTTAACCTCGCTTCAATACAAAAACCATAAATTTACGCTAAACATTCCTGTTAAAACGTCTTTAAAAAAACGTCTCGATATTCTCATTTGAATCAATCAATACTTGTCAGTTAATAAAGATAATAAAATCGTGAGTGTCATTTTTTAACGCTGTGTTTACATTGCGCACGGTACACGGTTATTCTTGGTGAAGTACGTATGCGTTTGAACCAACCAGGCTTGTTGCAGATTGGTCTAATGAGATTTCACGATAAAAATGGCTCTCAGATCCATTGCTCCGGATCCGGAGTCCGGATTGGAAATTGTATGAATATGATGTGAACGGTGCTTTACCTCTGAACACATTTGTCACGATTTTTTGCCCGGGCACCGGACAGGATTCGGGCTTTGGTGTGAACGTAGCTTAAAACTCTTACATCCTGTTTAAACTTCCGAATCTGACTGTTTTCAAATTCATTTATTATCCGACACATGTGCATATACTTATACGTCGATCATTTTCTTCTGTTACAATATACTCCCATTGTTTTATTTTCCTTCGTTAGCTACCATCCTTTGAGAGGCAAATATAATTAACAAGTATAAATTATGAATTATGTTGACATCATTTGTTTACTTCAGTCATATAACATCTGCCATAATTATTTGCTTTAATTATTGAAGACTCATTGGATATTTGTAAACACAGAAATGCGGTATTTTCTTACAGATAAAGTAATGTATGCCTGGCTACCGTAGGCCTAGCTCAGAATCCACAGGCCGTTACAACACAAGCAAAATGCCTATTATTGCTTACAGGCAGAATAATGATACTAATGCTACTGCTGCCGCTACCGTTACCACTATTTAGTGTTCTTTTTGCGGGAT